AGAGAAGGAGTTATTATTAAGGTTACTTTCCATGGACGAGTTAAATAGTGAATCAGAGAAGTTCGGTAGCCCGCAGTCGCAACATATCCACGAACACGACGAATTTGCCAGGATATCGTTCATATGATCGCCAATTAGACAGCAACGACTGTGATACCATCGATCGCACGAATCACAGCAAATGCCCCTTCTGGGTTATCTTAACAGGTTTGCTACAAATTCCACAAGGGAACTTTATCGGGCCAGGGTTTTGATGAATATCTCCGCCCAGGAGAAGGAGGAAGAAAAATACTCTTGTCGTCGTGACCTTTCTTGGCGAGCCCAAAATGGCGGCCAGGCGGCGAGTTGGACTTGTACTATAGTAAAACGCTTCCAGGCCAGATTCAGGTGGCGGCTTGATGTTATTTCCCAAGAACGAGTAACGTGGAAACTAATCATCTCCCAGTTCAGGGTAGCATGAGAGCCAAGAGTAAAAAAGGGAAGCAAACAGGAGAGGAAAAACCAGAGCATAATAAAAACGTGACCACCATTACATGCACCTCAGGATGTAGTATTTCGAAAAGGAAAATTGTTGATAGCAGAATCAACAAGACTCATGGGAGAGTCAAGGTGACTAAATATGGAGCGCAACTTAGCACATTCTGCATTGAAAGCTTCTGTTGTGGACGACAAGGCATAGGCACGATGTATCTTTGTCTTTAATGAAGAGTCTTTATAGCGTTTATCAGTGTGACTTTGTTAATAGGCAGTGTGTTGTTTATCTTTTTTCACGCGATCTGTGCAATGCAGATTATGTCGGATACACAGCCCGACACCTTCATCAACGCATCGTTGAGTACAAAAAATTCGGCAATCGGTATACATTTCATAGAAACTCACGGTAACAACAACCTCTTGAAAGAAAACCAATTCAAAGTTTTAAGAAAGTGCCAAGGCAAATTTGATTCTTTTGTATTTGAAATGCTCTTCATGAAGAATCTTAATGAAGCCTAATTTAAATATTCAGACTGACTCCATGATACGTGCGAAACTTTTTGTTTAATATTTTTAATCATCTTTTACTCACGTTACAGCTTTTAATCAGCTATTGTTTTTTAAGTATTTATAGACTGGAACTCACAAACATATTTTTTGAATTGATAATGACGTTTAGCTAACGTCAAAACGCCGTCTTTCAGCAATTTTTAATCTTAAAATGATTTTAAGACATGCTTTATCGCAATTTGTTATTGTCAGATTTCAAAAAAGGCTAAAAAATGGAAAATCTCCCAGAACATGTTAATTGTTAACTTGGGTAACACAACGTGCCACGGTCACGCAATTGTTCGTGTCTCAACAGTTACCTTAAAGAGAAACGACGCTAACTTTCAAGTGCGCGTTGAAGCGCGGAGCTGCAGAACTGGTAAAGGGCTAAACTAGAAAATATTTCTCTTATTAACAAGAGAAATTTCTTTATTGGAAGTTGTTTTTTAGCTGCTTTATTGCCCCATGCATATGAAACTTCTGTTAAACCAATAGAGAGCGACTTTCTTACGCTAGATTATACAGGCATCTATGCAAATTAATCTACCTGATCAGAAGGGTTGAGAAGCAACACTTCGATTTAATACGCTTCTAACGCTTCTCAATATGGCTCGTTCATGCACAGAAGTTTAGTCGCTTGAAAATAGTCAACAGCTCCTGTAAAAGTGACGTTTGTTTTACTTGCATTATCATTTCACATTCTAAATCTAGCTGTTGCAGAATTCTCCACTGCGTTAAGGAAAATCCCTGCGTTCCGCTGGTACAGCAATCAATAGGACTGTGTCTTTCTGGTTTTTCAAGTTTATTTACGATCCGCGTACGCCTCTACAATCTCCGTACAATTTACGTTCAGTCGATCTCAATGTCTATTCCGAATGCCCTCAATTACAACATGTTATCTCTTTTTATCACAACGGAGTGACACACCTAGTTACGTAAATCTGAGATTCACAATGCTTATTTGCGCTTAACTAGGCCATTTTCCTGTCGCACAGTTTGACTTGCGTCCTTACCCAGACTAATCCAATTAGCCCCTAGCAATTAAACCCACACCCGCTATTTGCGGAGCACGTGTCACATATTTCTGTGTGTTACAGGATGTTCCAGCCCAAACGTACGCCTTAAATTCCTCTAGATGATTCACTCGCGTGTATAAGCTAACATTCTACCGATTATTTATTTTATCTTTTTGTTTTTTGCAATTATTGATTATGCAATAACATGTTTCACAACACTAGCCTCACGTAAAACGCCTCAAGACACCTGCTCTCGCTAATTTTCATTTTGTCCACTCAACAAATTCGTGATCGTGAAAAGCGTTGCTGTCAACGATATGTCATCATACTAACTTGATGATGCGTCATTAATTAGATACTTCAGTATTTCCGTGAAGTTTGTTAGAATATTAGCCTCTGCTAAAATTGCCCGTGAAAACAAAGAGTTCTCGTTTTACATTAGGCAATCTCCGTCATTCAATCGGAATAATAGCTTGGAACTTCATTAAGAGTTGAGCCGCTATTTAACTTTGGTACGTAACGCTATACCAGAAGGTTATATGTTTTGTGAAATGATACACTATTTAGAGAAACAGCCGCAGTTGAGCTTAACATCCTACCTCTCATGCGATAAAATAACAGAAAATGGTGTTGACGGATCCTCAAACAGAGCTATTTTGAAGGTAATAAAACTGTTTTACTCATTGCTTTCGTCTGATTGGCTAAATAGCTACTGGATATTCCCCGCTGGCATCTTTGTGGCCAGAATCGTACATAATCCATAATCTTTGAAGCAGCACCTGTCTTAGCCACGAACAACAGCACGAATATCTTCTTGATAACATTCTGTTGAACAAGCCAACTGCAGTCAGTTCAAGTTTTCGAACATTTCGTAAAGATATTGGCATATACAGCAATTTTCCACCTTAAGCAGGACAGAGATGGCTGTTGTTAAAATAACTGTTGTTAAAATAATGCAAACTGCTGTTTCAAGGCTTGGCTGGTAACTTCTTATCCTAGAAAACAAACGAATGGCAGAAACGTGCAGAACGAAACTCGAAGCTGCCGTTTTAATTTTAAGCTTCTTCTTTCAAAGCGGTATCATTATTCCGATTTCCTCTGAATGTTCCGGTAAGTCAATTTTGCAATTTTTAAACGATGGATTTGCTTTGTCTAGTTTTTGGAGAGTTCTGTGAAAATTAATGTCAATCATAATATTATTGTTACATCTTCTCGCTGAAAAATACCCATTAGCGTCGCTGTTGGCAGAACCCGACGCAGTGATTAAATTTCCAGTGGACTTATGAACCGACATATAGAGTATAGCATAGTTCTATCTGCCAAGATCGACTATAGAAGGGATGTAGACTAATTGCTTTCTTCTTTGACGAGTAGCTCCCCTCTGGTTTTTACAATTTGATTCAGTGTACATTCAAAATCTAATGGTGAAATCACAGAAATACCTGCTAGGAAAAGTTCTTTCTTCAGCACAAAGCTGATATGCAGAAGTTTCAAACTCCTGGGATAACGTTGCAGGGAGGCCTCTCAGAGCACAATAAGGCAGCAACAAACCATTATCCAGTGTCTCTCTCGGCAAATTAATTTCCTAAGGATATTACCTTGACATTATCTTATTCTAAACCAAAACTGTGCTTGAACTTGTTTTGTCATTTGCAAACCAAATAGGTGAAGAATGCCGATCCATCGTTTTCAAAGAACCCATACAGGACAAAGTCATGAAGGGCCACTTGATCAGGCTTGAAGAGGTGCCCCATCAAGGCAGCTGTAATGTGCTGTGTTATATGGAGCCCAATTGTGTGTCCATAAATGTTGGGCCTTCTCAAGCTAAAGGAGGGAACTACATTTGTGAGTTGAACAATGCTTCGGACGAAAGTCCAGGCTCGTCCTACCTTCAGAGTAAGGAAGATTATAGCCATCTCAGTATCGAGGTAAAGTGACTTATTTAGACAATGAACAATTGTTGTTGGTCTAATGATAGATAAAGTGTAATTATTTCTTGCCCGCTCTTACTTTGTCAAAAAGTCACGAGAAGTTATCGTTCCAACAAGAATGTGTCCCTGTGAGATCACATGATAACCTGGGAAAGTAAACTAGCCATGGATGTTTATGATACGAGGTAATTTTGTCTTCAACAGAATCCCTGTAGTAGCAGTCCCTGTTTCAACAATGGCACATGTCGAGCCGGAAACACTGATAAAGGATTTCGTTGTAAATGTCCTTTAGGATTCACTGGTGCATACTGCGAGAAAGGTAACTATGCACAAACTGTAAAGTAGAATGAATAACGAATAATAATCATCGGGAGGATAACAATTTCTGTTTTTTTTTTTTTTTGTTTTTTTTTGTTGTTGTTGTCTCTTTTTCTTTAATATAGCCTGCAGCCTTGACTTTGAAGATGGAATCGGTGGTTGGGAAATGACAGGCAGAGCTTTCATTTACCAGCCGACATTCGGTGACAATCCAGCAGCTCGCCGAAGAGAAAGCGCCAATCTACAAGGGGACTGGTGGATAGGGGGAGCTGAGAAACGGCCCAGTGAGAGCGATCCCGCAGGAGGGCAGCATCCAGATGGAGCCGACGTACCCCACGGAACTCTCACCTCACCTTGTTTTCGTATCGTTGGCAAGAATATCTCGTTTCTCATTGGAGGGGGATGTACCGTAAATGAAGTTTATGCGGAGCTTATTGTCAACAACCAGGTGAGATTATTCCCTTTGACTATTATTTATCTTTTGATTCTTTTAAAACAACTTACTTGATTGATCAAGGTATAACAGATTTGGCTTTCAAAATTACGAGACCATTTTGAGCTTTGTGATTTCCATAAAGTTCGCTTAGGTTTAAAATGATATATTTACAGGGAAAAAATATATTTACAAAGTAAAATCTAAACATTTTCGACACTGATAACAACCAAGTGTCGAAAACGTTTGGTTTTACTTTCCAAATATTTTTTGACTTAGAAATGGCTTATTTTGAACTAACTTAAGGGAGTGTACGCGAGATAACCAATTTGGCGGCTGGCTCTCC